CTCATGGGGCTAATTTAGTGCTTTAAGTGCTTTATAAACACACAATTAACCGAGCAGACGTCAACTCGAGCATTTCTGAGTTTTACCTTTTTCAAAACCATCATCGTTTAAAATTCTGAAATCTTGTTTTGTTTTGACACAACATGCTTCACCGGCAAGCATTTTTTCAGCACATGATGGCCACCGGAACAGCAGCAACAACAGCAATCAGCACATGTCAACAACAATCATCATTATCTTCATCAAACTCAAATCAAAATGTTTCTACTGCAAATACACCCAAAAGACCCATTGATTATCAGCCTATTTCTGGTTTCAATTACCCTTTCAAGGATGGTAGTTTTGTTAGTCATTCGACATTACATAGCAGCTGCAGTCCTTTTCCTTCTTCAGCACCACTTCAGCAAGAAGAGGAAGAGCAGTTTAATCTTTTGCGTCTTTTCTCGACCTGTCTTTTTGGGAAAAAGCATTTTCTGGAAGCATTTTAATTTATGCAATGTACTTTCCTATATTATTCACTTTTTTGCATTAAAGTTTACTTTAAAAATTATCCATTTGAAAGGGATAAAAGTCTTTTGATAACGATAATCGCTTTTCTTGTCGTGAGCTGGTTAAATTGGCCTTGAAAGTCATAATACCACACTTAGTCATCATCATGGTTTTATTATACAGTTGGTGCACGATATTTTTAATCTTTCAATTGACGACTCAGGCTACTGTGTTTTGGATTAGCTAACAGTACTCAACAGCAGGTTTTCTCACCTTTTAAATAACTTGCGACAAAATACGTTTTAGCTTCACTTCATTTTAATTTTTTAAGAGTAGATCATCAATATCTTTATCAAAATAACACAGTTTAACAAATAACAAAAGAAAACATGGCAAAAATTGCGTTGTTTGCCTTTAGTTTGTCTCTTCTTCTTTTGCCAGCAGTAGTCCTCTCTGCCGACAATAATAACTCGACAAAATTGACCGTCAAGAATGCCCGTCCAATTGTGGGCGTTCTGTTGATGGTCGACTGGAAAAACGAAACGCTGTCCGTTTCCTCCAGTTACATCAAGTGGGCGGAGATGGGCGGCGCCAGAGTGGTAAAAAAAGATAAAAACCTAAAACTTTAACTTTCTAAGACCTCTATCTTTCTCAGGTGCCCATCCCAGTAGGTGGTTCCCGGGACTACTACAAAGCACTCTTTGATCAGATCAACGGCGTGATCATGCCCGGAGGAAACGGGACCCTGGTCGACTCAATGTACGCCCGCACGGCAGAGTTGATCATCCAAACGGCGGAAGAGAAACACGCGGCGGGCGTTCACTGGCCGGTGTGGGCGGTTTCTCTGAGCATGCAGAAGCTGATCGCCTACTACACCGGAAACAGCCTTGCCTGGATGACCGCCTGTGATGAACAGCGGTTCCTGTCGTTGCCCTTAGATTTCCCCTCTGATCTTGATCTTCGGCAGGTTCGCCTGTTCAAGGACGCTCCAGACTCGATTATAGGTTTTCTAAAGAGCCGAAATGTGACCGCCAACTACCACAGCGTCTGCCTCGACGTGGAGACCTTTAAAAAGTCAAAAAATCTGACTGATCACTTTCGCCTGGTGAGTACAAACACCTACCTAAGCAAAGAGGGAGAAAAAAGGGAGTTTGTGAGCACCATTGAACATCGGCAGTTGCCCATCTACGGCGTCCAGTGGCACCCGGAGATGGCGGCTTTTGAGTGGTCCACTGCTCTGCACGGTTTCTCCCATGACGAGGCGGCCATCCTCGTCGGCCAGTACTTTGCCAACTTCTTTGTCGGCGAGGCGAGGAAGAACGGACAGTTTTTTGCCAGTGTTGAGGAGGAGCAACAGCGGCTAATGTACAGCTACGCGCACCGGTTGTTCTACTCGCCGCACAACGCTTACCAGGAATACTACGAGTTTGACATTTGGTTCACCAAAAACAGTAGTGCTGATAGTTCTCTTTGTTCTCTTATTTTTACTGCGAACATTTTGGCTATTATAATGTTTTCAATATGTGGACTGTACTTGATATTTTTCATGTTTTTCGTAGTGTACAAAAAATTTAAAAAGCATACAGAGAAAAAAGCCTTGAAATCTTAAACAAGTTTGAGATTTTAATGCAATTTTTCATATGCATTTTAAAAAATGAAAAAAGCTTAAATCCACTGAAGATTTAAAAAAATTTTTGTGTGAGGTTTATGCATTAGTTTATTTTTCAACAATGACTTTATTTTTAGTTTTCAAAGTTTTTAAAAAAAATTGGTAAAAGTTTTTTAAGTAAAAATGTTTTTATCCAAAAGAGTGAAAACAAATTCTCCCCAAAATCCCGTCAACACAAAGGTCTATGAGTTGCACATCACTGGAAAGCTAAAAATGGCCTGATTACTAATATGTAAATATCCAAGTGGAGCCCAGAACGGTTCTTGAGAAAATCGGGCCCAAACTGTACCTTTGGCTGTGCTTTACCTGACTTGTAATGCCATCTAGCGGAAACAAAAGATTTCCAGTTTGTTCTTCTTTTTTCTGCTAGATGGCATTACAAGTCAAGTAAAGCACAGTCAAAGGTACAGTTTGGACCCGATTTTCTCAAGAACCGTTCCGGGCTCCACTTAGATATTTACATATTAGTAATCAGGCCATTTTTCGCTTTCCAATTATGTGCGACTTATAGACATTTGAGTTGACGGGTATTTGGGGCGATTGACTCTGGAGATTTGTTTTCACTCATTGTACTACGTTTTTTGAAATGTTAAAAATTAAAAAAACACTTTTTACTTTTGTTTTGTAAAAACGATAAATGACAAGAAGTGTCACAAGTTTGTTTAGCGCAAATGCAAATCGGAATAATGATACGAAGAAACTGATGTTAACAGTGATTTTATTTTTGTATTTTGATTGCCAATAGTGCGCTAATAAATTTGCAGTAGTGATAGGGTAATGGTGATAGTGATACGATGAAGAAAAGACTTAGAGCAAGTTGAACCGGTTGTGATGTTCATCTTCACACTGACTTCCGTTTTTTCTCCGAAGTTCTGGCCAACACAAAAACAATTATCAAGTCCTGTGACCAGGCGGAAAAGACATTAAGATGAGGGGAGAGCTTTATGGAATACTCGAGCAGCCGCCGCGCTACGTCCCCTTTGACTACTCGGCAGCTTCTGGGTACGGAGGCGAGGCGACCGCGCTAAATTGATACCCGCGTTTCCTTGGCCACCAAGACAAAATAGAGGCCGCAGTCAAGGGAAAAGCTAGCTCAGAGCTCTATCGAGTTCTAGATGAGTCGGTGAAGGGCGGCAGAAACATTCTCCGTTTTCCCCTTTTTTGCGGCATGGAGCCATTTTCTTTCTCCGCCTGTTGCTGCTGCGAGTACCTTGTCATCTGCTACTTGAAGAGCCTGCCATCGCCGCTCAACATCCTTTGGCCAAGTCCCTTCCTCGCAAAATGAAACAGCTGTTGGGCTGTTGTGCCCTGTGGCTCAATGGTTGTCACAACGACCGCAGCGAGGACAGGAAGCTCCTTGCAAAAGCCCATGCCCTTCCACCCGGCGCAACCATCATCGACCCATACCATGGACCATGATGACATAATCAGAGTTCGACATTTGGTTCAACAAAAACAGTAGTGCGGATAGTTTTTGTATTTTTTCCCGTTTATTTTTGTTTTTATAATGCTTTTAATATCTGGACTGTGTTTGATATTTTTCTTGTTTTTTAGTGTACAAAATATTTAAAAATCATTCAAAAAAAAGTTTTGAAATTTTAAACTCATTTGAGATTTTAATGTTTTTTCTTAAATGCATTTTAAAAAACAAGTAAAAATCTCAAATCAACTAAAAAATTATGTGGAGTTTAATCAGTAGTATTTTTTCTAACTGTGACTTTATTTGCGGTTTTCAAATATTAAAAAACTAGCTTACTTTTACATTTTTTCAGCTTGCACAAAAGACCACTAAGATATCACCAAAAAATGTCATCCCTCCTTCATCACTGCAAATAAGCAAAAGTAGTATTGATAGGGTAACGGTGATAATGTGATACGGTGAATAAAACAGTCAGTGAGTCCTTGACAAGTTGAACCGGTCTTGATAAATTTGTCTTTCGCACTATCATGCACTCAGCTAATCAAGCTTTCAGTCTAGCCAGTCAAGCCATTTTTCCTTCAAGTAAACAAATGATTTTTCATTAGCTCGGAACAAAAATTAAAAGTTTTGATCAGTGAAATAACAACATTTTTGATTGAAAAAATGAGAGAAACGACTCCCAAAACAACCACCAAAAAACCTCCATGGTACCAGAAGTTTGTTCCCTATCTGTCCCTTGCCGTCTTCATTGGAATCATCCTCTTCTTTTTAGTGTACCTCAAATCTGACCCAGTTTGCACCACCCCGAGTTGCCTTGCCGTCGGTAGGCTACTTGCTTCCTCACTGAACACCTCCGTTGATCCTTGTGAAGATTTTGCAGCTTACGCATGCAGCGGATGGGCTGCCGCCCATCCAATTCCAGTCGGCAAAAGCAAATACACCACTTTTGAGCCTCTGTTCGAGAAACTGGACAACTTCCTTAGAAACATTTTTGAGCATCAGGAGAGCTTTAAAGAGAAGAATGGAGGAATCTATCAGCAGTCTAAATCAGTTCAACTTCAACTTGACCTGTATCGGGAATGTACTAATTGGACTGCCAGAGACAGGCGAGGGCTGGAACCGTTAAAGAAATTGTTAATCAAAGTTCTCGGGGCAGAATGGCCAGCTCTGAATGAGTCCTCTTTGGAAGGTGTGCGACAAGTGGAGCTAAAAAATGGAAACTTTTTGCAGACACTAGCTCAAATTTCGGCGCTTGACATTAACAAGCTGGTAGACCCGTTTGTGGAAAAGGATTTTAATAACACAAAAGTAAAAAATATTAATGTAAGTTTTTAATTTTGTTTTATAACCAATTTTTGGAGAGTTTAACAAACCACTTCATGTTGGACTTAGTTTGACTCTCCAACACAAACTCTTACTCAAATGGAGTTTACTAATGTCGATGGACTTTTTGACAACGAAGTAAAAGCTCATGAAAACAATGTCTACGATTTTGTACAATTCTTTTTAAGTGGGTCAGCAAACTTTTCTAGCAGTTTAAATTTTACAACAAAAAATGTGGTAATATCTCGTTTTAAAGAGGTTCTCGCGCTTGAAAAATCATTGGCTATGGCCAAGTTACCCGAAAGTCAAGATCAAGATCCGGCCGTCTGGTACAACAAAATGAGTCTCGAGGAGTTTACCAATATGACGGGAAATGTCCTCAACTACACCGACTACCTGAACGAGCTGGCAGTGTTGTACAAACTTCCGTACCGTTTCAACGACACCGATCTGGTGATAGTCCGAGACATCGGCTACTACAAGCAGCTATCCAAAATTCTCACCGAAACGCCCCCTTTAACGCTGCACAACTACCTCGGCTACCAGCTCGCCCGTTACTGGTCACTCTTTACCGACAACTCCTTTTGGGATTACTACCTGGAGCAAACCGTCCCAGAGGAGCCCTTCTGGAAGAACTGCCTGGAAAGGGTAGACCGCTGGGTGGCCTCCCACCTCTACGTCCGCCAGAAAGTGTTGCCAGTCACCAAGGAGAAGGCGGAGGAGATAGTGGAAGAGCTGCAAGAGGTTTTCGTGGAGGAGGTGCTCAAGAAGGACGTCAACTGGCTGGACGAGCAGACGAGGAGGAAGGCTTTGGAAAAGGCCGCCCAGACGTACTTCCATGTCGCCTACCCGGACTGGCTGCTGAACGGCAACGAGCTGGACCGCATTGCATTCCACTACCCGCCGGTGGAGTTGCCCCGAGTAGTGGAAGGTCACTACTTTGAGAGCAGCCTAGAGGTGACGCGAATGGGCAACGCCGCTGCCGCCGCCTTCAGAAAGCTTCACCAGCCGATAAACGTGGCGCAGGACTTTCCTGCAGAGCCGTTCGATGTCAATGGCTACGCCTATCACAAGAAGAACGTCGTCGGTAGGACTTTTAATTAATAAAAAGTTTTAACTAAAACTCTTCTAATTATCTCTTCTCCGTAATTAATAGTTATTCTTGCTGGCCTCCTTCAGCCGCCCAAATTTGACCCAACCGTTCCCGCCTACGTCACCCTGGGCGGCCTGGGCTCCTTCACCGGCCACGAGATTACCCACCACTTCGACGAAGTCGGCGCCCTGTACGACTTGAATGGAAACCTGGCCAACTGGTTTTCACCGACGACAAAGGAAAGGTTTGAAAGCAAATTGCAGTGCTTTGTGGAGCAGTACGAGGCCATTGTCGACCAGCAAACGGGCGTCAGACTGAATGGGAGCCTGACGTTGGGAGAGAACATCGCCGACAATGGCGGTCTGAGAATGGCGTTTCGGGCGTTGGAGAAAAGGCTGAAAAGAGACATTGATAGAAAAGAACGCCTGAAGCTGCCGCAAATGGAAAAGTTCACTCCGCAACAGATCTTCTTTATCTCCTATGCGCACCTGTGGTTTGAGCACTATTTGACTGAAGCAAAAAAAGACGCCATTTACCACAAAGTCCACCTGCCGGGCGAGTACCGCATCAATGTGCCGCTGAGCAATTTTGAGCCTTTTTCCGCTGCGTTTCAGTGTCCTCTCGGTTCAAAAATGAACCCAAAGAAAAAGTGCCGTTTGTGGTGATCCTTTTTAATTATTTTCTTTTGTCTGGATTTGAATTTAAACAAAATAAAAACCTTCTCTGTACAGTGCGAGTGATCAAAATTCGAGTGTTATTTTGTATTGAAAATCTATGCTGAAAATGATTGTGATAATTAAAACGCACAAAACTACAGTGGCTACTGCTGTTTATAAACCATCAGGAAGAAAACGGCCGTGTACGAAGACAACTATGAGAAAAGATCAATTTAAAATTTTAGTTACCACAACGTTCAAGCACACACCATATAGAAAGTTTTTGAGGTGATTCGGTAGTTGTCAAGGAGAACCATACAGTACGGTCGCAGACGATGACTGCTCTGAAGCAGTTCAGCCTTAAGTATAATTGCTTTTTCAAGTTTTTCCGGTTTAGATTTGAAAGCACCGGGGCAGAAAAATGCCAAGTAAAACTTTTGGTTTGCCTTTTCAATGGCACTATTGCACTTTGCAACGCTCGAACACATTTGAATAATGGAAAACTGAAACACTGTGACATTGAATAGGGCGGTGATAAAGTACGACCGTCAGATAAAAGGCAAAGTGGGTACAAAAGTGACAATGTAGAAAAGATAACACTGGAGAGTGATAAAACCAATGAAAAAAATGGTCAGTGAGGCTGACCAAAAGGTGGACCAGTTGCCGATGTCACTGCACAAATCATTGACTGCCTGATTGACTGCAATGTACTGCTGCCAAAGTTTACCCAAAGAAGTGTTTTTCTTTCGATTCATCTGTGATTTGTTTTTGAGAATCTTATTCAGTTTGTTCAGTCGTTTCAGCAGAGATTGCTGGCGAATGTGCAAAAACTGAATAGCTAAGATGGCTGTTGTTATTATCCAAAAGTAAGCTGAAAGTTGTTTTGTTTAAATTCAGATTTAAAACATTAAGCAAAGCAAACAATTTACCATGAGAGAGGTAAAGTAAATGAAGCGGGAAAAAGACGATCCACAGAAGAGCGTCTCTGACAGAGACTCTGTAGACAGCGTTTATGAAGAGGACATGGGCATAGGTGATAACGTTTGCAAAGAGATAAAAAGAAACTATGCTTGTGAGAAAAAACTTTTGAATACGCTTGTGAGTAGAAAGAATTGCCGAAGAAACTGAAGAGGACAATTCTAAAAATAAACAGTTTATTCAACAGTTTTTTGGTAAAAAAAACTTAAACTTACTCTTTCCGTGAATACTCAGCAGGACAGAAGAACTTTGACGATTGGTAACTGATACCTGGTAACGATCCAGTGTGCAGGGATTGCGAAGAGCAATTGCATAGAGGGCTATTGACACTGAAACAACCGTAGCGTAGGCAAAGTCGCCCTGAGGCCAAATGGTTTGAGGAAAGCCCTGATGGTACATCATCACAGGGCATGTTTTCAAAATTTGCCAACTGAGCTGACCCGTTTCAGTGTAGACCATAAAGCAAGTTCCGTACAGTACAGAGATGATCTGCCACAGAAAGGGAAACAGAAATGTAATGTCCCACTTGGAGTTATTTTGGTGGACCTTTTTTGACCTATCTTTGATAATATTAGATCTTGATAGTAAAGTAAAGAGTATCCATGATTGGTGATGATCTTAAAAACAGTTTTTAAAATTGTTTTTGAGGCCATTTTTATTTAAATTACTAAATGTTTGCCAACTGGGTTATGAGAAAAATATTTTTGTTGTATTTTCAAATAAAACTTTTATGTTTTATTACAAAATTACAAAATTGCAAAAGTTTTTATGCAAAAAGCAATAGGTAATAAAACGAAATTTTGTTAAAAATTTTACTAGCATTGTGATAATACTGTGAATAAACGTGAGTTATTTGATTCAAAATCTTTATTGTTACTTTTATGTCACTAGCAATTTTTTGTTTTAGAAATTATATGGTTGTACTTTGGTAAAAAGTTAAAATAAACAAAAATTTTTAATTTATTCTTTCGGTTGCTCAACGGGTTTTAACTTTCAGTGCATAAATTTCAATCAAATACACCAAATCAATTCTGTAATGAAAACTGCTCTATCATTGTAAAATTGTTGTTGCATTGATTTTTTTCTAAAAATTTCTGTTGGTTTGTTGTAACGCCTCTTCTTTGACCTATCATTTCCCACTTTATGAGAACCTTTATTTCAGAAAAAATCACTGATAATTTTAATTTTCAAATAGACTATTTGGCGCTAGATGCAAAACTAAAACAAAAAAATACAATGCAAAAACTGCCTAAATAAAATCAATTTTTTATAACAACTTTTTATTTTTTTCACACTGGTGGTACCAAAATCTTAAAACAAAAATAAAACAATTTTTTACAAAATTCCTTGTTTTTTGAGTACTGAGTCAATGTACTACTGGCTAACTTTGTTTTCGTTTTACAAGCGTTTAACTGTCTCAAAAGAAAAAATAATAACCTAGCCACAAAATGTGTTTTCTAAAGAATAATTGTGTGTGTGACATGCTGAAAAGCTTTATTTATGATAATTTTAATTTTAACTAAAACGCACAAAACGACGATGATTACTGTTGTTTATATATCATCAGGAAAAAAACGGCTGTGTAAGAAAACAACTATAAGAAAAAATCAATTAATAAGTTTAGTTGCCAAAACATTCAAACACACACCATATAGAAAGTTTTTGAGGTGATTCGGTAGTTGTCAAGTAGAACCATACAGTACGGTCGCAAACGATGACTGTTCTGAAGCAGTTCAGCCTTTAATATAATTGTTTTTTCTAGCATTTCCGCATTAGGTTTGAGCACACTAGTGCAGAAAAACGCCAGGTAAAACTTTCGGTTTGCCCTTTCAATGGCACTATTGCATTTCACTACATTTGAACACATCTTAATGATAGAAACTTGAAACATTGTCCAATTGAATAGGGCGGAAATAAAGTACGACCGCCAGATAAAGGGCAAAGTAGGCACAAAGGTGACAATGTAGAAAAGGTAACACTGAAGAGTGATGAAACCGGTGAAAAGGACAGTCAGAGAAGCCGACCAGAAGGTTGACCAGTGGCCGATGTCAATGCACAAGCCAT